CCTACAGAAAGCCCAAAGAAGTCTACTACATTGCTCTTGAGATCATCAGTGATACCCACTACTTTAGTGGATGACACAGGTAATGTTGTGATTGGATTGCTACAAAATTGGGGGAGTATTAATAATTCTTGGCAAAGTTTTGGTAATAGAAGTCCCTTTGCTCATTTGTCATTTTATTAGGAGAAGTCATTCATCCAGTCACAGCGGGCCAGCAAGGAGGTGAAAATGGGAAAGTGAGAACCGATGTGCCTGTTGTGATGTCATCACTGATGCCGTCCTCTCCTCTCAGAAGTGCATCAACCACTAGCAGTCATGGTAAGTTATCCAAAAACAGCACATTTGCAGCTGAATCTGGTTTGAAATGGGGAACTCATTCTTTAGTCATCCGATCCGTCGAAATGATTTCATGTGGAGGAAAGTGGCCCTTGATTTTCATTGGATTTTCATTTATTTTCATTTCTCCATCTACCACAGAACTCACAACTGCTCCAGAAACAACCATCTTGTCCCATGCTCCATCTACGACAAGACGCACAACAGCTCCAGAGACAACCATATTGTCCCATTCTCCATCTACCAAAAAATTGACATCTGCTCCTGAGACAACAATCTTGTCTCATACTCCATCTACCACAGAACCCACATCTGCTCGAGAGACAACCATCTTGTCCCATTCTCCATCTGCAGAAGCATTTACATCTGCTCCAGAGTCAACCATATTGTCCCATTCTCCATCTACCACAGAATCCACATCTGCTCCAGAGACAACTATCTTGTCCCATTCTCCATCGACCACAGAATCCACATCTGCTCCAGAGACAACCATCTTGTCCCATTCTCCATCAACTACAGAACCCACATCTGCTCTTGCGACAACCATCTTGTCCCATTCTCCATCTACCACAGAATACACATCTGCTCCAGAAACAACCATCTTGTCCCATACTCCTTCTGCAAAAGCATCTACATCTCCTCCAGAGACAACCATATTGCCCCTTTCTCCATCTACGAAAGAATCTACATCCGCTCTTGAGACTACAATCTTGTCCCATACTTCATCTACCACAGAACCTACATCTGCACCAGAGACAACCATCTCTTCCCATTCTCCATCTACCACAGAATCCACAACAGCTCCAGAGACAGCCATATTGTCCCATCCTCCATCTACCGCAGAACCCGCATCTGCACCAGAGTCAACCATCTTGTCCCATTCTCCATCTACAAAAGAATCTACATCTCCTCCAGAGACAACCATATTGTCCCATTCTCCATCTACTACAGAATACACATCTGCTCCAGAGACAACCATCTTGTCCCATCCTCCATCTACCATAGAACACACATCTGCTCCAGAGTCAACCATATTGTCCCATCCTCCATCTACCACAGAATACACATCTGCTCCAGAGACAACCATCTTGTCCCATACTCCATCGACCACAGAAACCACATCTGCTCCAGAGACAACCATCTTGTCCCATCCTCCATCTACCACAGAACACACATCTGCTCCAGAGTCAACCATATTGTCCCATACTCCATCTACCATAGAACACACATCTGCTCCAGAGACAACTATCTTGTCCCATTCTCCATCTACCACAGAACCTACATCTGCTCCAGAAACAACCATCTTGTCCCATACTCCATCGACCACAGAAACCACATCTGCTCCAGAGACAACCATCTTGTCCCATCCTCCATCGACCACAGAAACCACATCTGCTCCGGAGACAACCATATTGTCCCATACTACCAAAGCATCTACATTCGCTCTTGAGACTACAATCTTGTCCCATACTTCATCTACCACAGAACGCACATCTGCTCCTGCGACAACCATTTCTTCCCATTCTCCATCTATGACAGAATCCACAACAGCTCCAGAGACAGCCATATTGTCTCATCATCCATCTACCAAAGAACACACATCTGCTCCAGAGTCAACCATCTTGTCCCATACTCCATCTCCCTCGGAATCCACAACTACTTCAGAGACAACCATCTTGTCCCATTCTCCATCTACGAAAGAATCTACATCTCCTCCAGAGACAACCATGTTGTTCCATTCTCCATCTACTACAGAATACACATCTGCTGCAGAGACAACCATCTTGTCCCATACTCCATCGACCACAGAAACCACATTTGCTCCAGAGTCAACCATAATGTCCCATACTCCATCTCCCTCGGAATCCACAACTACTTCAGAGACAACCATCTTGTCCCATTCTCCATCTACGAAAGAATCTACATCTCCTCCAGAGACAACCATGTTGTTCCATTCTCCATCTACTACAGAATACACATCTGCTGCAGAGACAACCATCTTGTCCCATACTCCATCGACCACAGAAACCACATTTGCTCCAGAGTCAACCATAATGTCCCATACTCCATCTCCCTCGGAATCCACAACTACTTCAGAGACAACCATCTTGTCCCATTCTCCATCTATGAAAGAATCCACATCTCCTCCAGAGACAACCATATTCTCCCATTCTCCATCTACCACAGAATCTACATCTCCTCCAGAGACAACCATATTGTCCCATACTCCATCAACTACAGAACCCACATCTGCTCCAGAGACAACCATCTTGTCCCATTCTCCCTCTATGAAAGAATCTACATCTCCTCCAGGGACAACCATGTTGTCCCATTCTCCCTCTACTACAGAATACACATCTGCTCCAGAGACAACCATCTTGTCCCATACTCCATCGACCACAGAAACCACATCTGCTCCAGAGACAACCATTTTGTCCCATTCTCCATCCACGAAAGAATCTACATCTCCTCCAGAGTCAACCATATTGTTCCATTCTCCATCTACCACAGAACACACATCTGCTCCAGAGTCAACCATATTGTCCCATGCTACCAAAGAATCTACATCCGCTCTTGAGACTACAATTTTGTCCCATACTTCATCTACCACAGAACCTACATCTGCTCCAGGGACAACCATCTCTTCCCATTCTCCATTTACCGCAGAATACACAACAGCTCCAGAGACAGCCATATTGCCCCATACTCCATCGACCTCAGAATCCACAACTGCTCCAGAGACAACCATATTGTCCCATCCTCCATCTACCAAAGAACCCACATCTGCTCCAGAGTCAACCATGTTATCCCATCCTCCATCTACCGAAGAACCCACATCTTCTCCAGAGTCAACCATATTGTCCCATCCTCCATCTACCACAGAACCCACATCTGCTCCAGAGTCAACCATATTGTCCCATTCTCCATCTGCAGAAGCATTTACATCTGCTCCAGAGTCAACCATATTGTCCCATTCTCCATCTACCACAGAATCCACATCTGCTCCAGAGACAACTATCTTGTCCCATTCTCCATCGACCACAGAATCCACATCTGCTCCAGAGACAACCATCTTGTCCCATTCTCCATCAACTACAGAACCCACATCTGCTCTTGCGACAACCATCTTGTCCCATTCTCCATCTACCACAGAATACACATCTGCTCCAGAAACAACCATCTTGTCCCATACTCCTTCTGCAAAAGCATCTACATCTCCTCCAGAGACAACCATATTGCCCCTTTCTCCATCTACGAAAGAATCTACATCCGCTCTTGAGACTACAATCTTGTCCCATACTTCATCTACCACAGAACCTACATCTGCACCAGAGACAACCATCTCTTCCCATTCTCCATCTACCACAGAATCCACAACAGCTCCAGAGACAGCCATATTGTCCCATCCTCCATCTACCGCAGAACCCGCATCTGCACCAGAGTCAACCATCTTGTCCCATTCTCCATCTACAAAAGAATCTACATCTCCTCCAGAGACAACCATATTGTCCCATTCTCCATCTACTACAGAATACACATCTGCTCCAGAGACAACCATCTTGTCCCATCCTCCATCTACCATAGAACACACATCTGCTCCAGAGTCAACCATATTGTCCCATCCTCCATCTACCACAGAATACACATCTGCTCCAGAGACAACCATCTTGTCCCATACTCCATCGACCACAGAAACCACATCTGCTCCAGAGACAACCATCTTGTCCCATCCTCCATCTACCACAGAACACACATCTGCTCCAGAGTCAACCATATTGTCCCATACTCCATCTACCATAGAACACACATCTGCTCCAGAGACAACTATCTTGTCCCATTCTCCATCTACCACAGAACCTACATCTGCTCCAGAAACAACCATCTTGTCCCATACTCCATCGACCACAGAAACCACATCTGCTCCAGAGACAACCATCTTGTCCCATCCTCCATCGACCACAGAAACCACATCTGCTCCGGAGACAACCATCTTGTCCCATTCTCCATCTACCACAGAATCTACATCTTCTCCAGAGACAACCATCTTGTCCCCAACTCCATCGACCACAGAAACCACATCTGCTACAGAGACAACCATCTTGTCCCCTACTCCATCGACCACAGAAACCACATCTGCTCCAGAGACAACCATCTTGTCCCATTCTCCATCTACCAAAGAATCTACATTTCCAGAGACAACCATCTTGTCCCCAACTCCATCGACCACAGAGACCACATCTGCTACAGAGACAACCATCTTGTCCCCTACTCCATCGACCACAGAAACCACATCTGCTCCAGAGACAACTATCTTGTCCCATACTCCATCGACCACAGAAACCACATCTGCTCCAGAGACAACCATCTTGTCCCATTCTCCATCTACCAAAGAATCTACATCTCCAGAGACAACCATCTTGTCCCCAACTCCATCGACCACAGAAACCACATATGCTACAGAGACAACCATCTTGTCCCCTACTCCATCGACCAAAGAAACCACAACTGCTCCAGAGACAACCATCTTGTCCCATTCTCCATCTACCACAGAAACCACATCTGCTACAGAGAAAACTATCTTGTCCCCTACTCCATCGACCACAGAAACCACATCTGCTCCAGAGACAACTATCTTGTACCATACTCCATCTACCACAGAACACACATCTGCTACAGAGACAACCATCTTGTCCCCTTCTCCATCGACCACAGAAACCACATCTGCTCCAGAGACAACTATCTTGTCCCATTCTCCATCGACCACAGAAACCACATCTGCTCCAGAGACAACCATATTATCCCATTCTCCATCTACCACAGAATCTACATCTGCTACAGAGAAAACCATCTTGTCCCCTACTCCATCGACCACAGAAACCACATCTGCTCCAGAGACAACTATCTTGTCCCATACTCCATCGACCAAAGAAACCACATCTGCTCCAGAGACAACCATCTTGTCCCATTCTCCATCTACCACAGAAACCACATCTGCTCCAGAGACAACCATCTTGTCCCCTACTCCATCGACCACAGAAACCACATCTGCTCCAGAGACAACCATCTTCTCCCCTACTCCATCGACCACAAAAACCACATCTGCTCCAGAGACAACCATCTTGTCCCATTCTCCATCTACCAAAGAAACCACATCTGCTCCAGAGACAACCATCTTGTCCCCTACTCCATCGACCACAGAAACCACATCTGCTACAGAGACAACCATCTTGTCCCCTACTCCATCGACCACAGAAACCACATCTGCTCCAGAGACAACTATCTTGTCCCATACTCCATCGACCACAGAAACCACATCTGCTCCAGAGACAACTATCTTGTCCCATTCTCCATCGACCACAGAAACCACATCTGCTCCAGAGACAACCATCTTGTCCCATTCTCCATCTACCACAGAATCTACATCTTCTCCAGAGACAACCATCTTGTCCCCAACTCCATCGACCACAGAAACCACATCTGCTACAGAGACAACCATCTTGTCCCCTACTCCATCGACCACAGAAACCACATCTGCTCCAGAGACAACCATCTTGTCCCATACTCAATCGACCACAGAAACCACATCTGCTCCAGAGACAACTATCTTGTCCCATTCTCCATCGACCACAGAAACCACATCTGCTCCAGAGACAACCATCTTGTCCCATTCTCCATCTACCAAAGAATCTACATCTCCAGAGACAACCATCTTGTCTCCAACTCCATCGACCACAGAAACCACATCTGCTACAGAGACAACCATCTTGTCCCCTACTCCATCGACCACAGAAACCACATCTGCTCCAGAGACAACTATCTTGTCCCATACTCCATCGACCACAGAAACCACATCTGCTCCAGAGACAACCATCTTGTCCCATTCTCCATCTACCACAGAATACACATCTGCTCCAGAGACAACCATCTTGTCCCATACTCCATCGACCACAGAAACCACATCTGCTTCAGAGACAACCATCTTGTCCCATACTCCATCGACCATAGAAACCACATCTGCTCCAGAGACAACCATCTTGTCCCATTCTCCATTTGTGAAAGCATCTACATCTCCTCCATACACAACCATATTGTCCCATTCTCCATCGACCACAGAAACCACATCTGCTCCAGAGACAACCATCTTGTCCCATTCTCCATCGACCACAGAAACCACATCTGCTCCAGAGACAACCATCTTGTCCCATTCTCCATCGACCACAGAAACCACATCTGCTCCAGAGACAACCATCTTGTCCCATACTCCATCTATGAAAGCATCTACATCTCCTCCAGACACAACCATATTGTCCCATCCTCCATCTACCACAGAATACACATCTGCTCCAGAGACAACCATCTTGTCCCATAGTCCATCGACCACAGAAACAACATCTGCTCCAGAGACAACCATCTTGTCCCCTACTCCATCGACCACAGAAACCACATTTCCTCCAGAGACAACCATCTTGTCCCATACTCCATCGACCACAGAAACCACATTTTCTCCAGAGACAACCATCTTGTCCCATACTCCATCGACCACAGAAACCACATCTGCTCCAGAGACAACCATCTTGTCCCATACTTCATCTACCACAGAACCTACATCTGCTCCAGGGACAACCATCTCTTCCCATTCTCCATTTACCGCAGAATACACAACAGCTCCAGAGACAGCCATATTGCCCCATACTCCATCGACCTCAGAATCCACAACTGCTCCAGAGACAACCATATTGTCCCATCCTCCATCTACCAATTATTAGGAGAAGTCATTCATCCAGTCACAGTGGGCCAGCAAGGAGGTGAAAATGGGAAAGTGAGAACCGATGTGCCTGTTGTGATGTCATCACTGATTCCGTCCTCTCCTCTCAGAAGTGCATCAACCACTAGCAGTCATGGTAAGTTATCCAAAAATAGCACATTTGCAGCTGAATCTGGTTTGAAATGGGGAACTCATTCTTTAGTCATCCGGTCTGTCGAAATGATTTCATGTGGAGGAAAGGTGCCCTTGATTTTCATTGAATGCCAAAGTCATTGGCTAAGGAAAATGCCTTATTGTGATGTTAGGAGCCTTGATGCTGCTGAATATTAAATAAGGTTTTGGAACAGTTGTCTGGTGCACTCCAGGTTGCATTTCCCAAATGGCTCCACTAGGAGGCAGCATATAATCAAAGCAGAAGGGTAATGTTCTGAGAGGGCCCATTTCCTGCTCAAAAGGGAAACAAAGGAGGGGAGACTCCCTTATTCAAGCCCTGGTCTCAGAAGTCATAATCCAATGCTCCAACCACTACGCCATGCTTGCATAATACAGTCAGACCCTTTTATCTGTGGAACCCATATCTATTATTTCATTTACCTGGAAAACAAGTGATTGCTCTCAGGATTTGCCATGATGCTTTGACTCTTTCTTCTGGATTTGCATGATGTGTTGACTCCTTCCTCTGGATTTGTATGATGCTTTCACTCTTTCTTCTGGATTTGCATAATGCTAGACCCTTTCCTCTGGACTTGCATGATGCTTTGACTCTTTCCTTTGATTTGTATGAAGCTATGACTTTTTCTGGATTTGCATGATGCTTTGACTCTTTCCTCTGGATTTGTATGAGGCTATGAATCTTTTTTCTGGATTTGTATGATGTGTTGACTCTTTCATCTGGATTTGCATAATGCTTGACCCTTTCTCTGGGTTTGTATGAGGCTTTGACTCTTTCCTCTGGATTTGCATAATGCTCTACTCTTTTCTCTGGATTTGTATGAGGATTTGACTCTTTCCTCTAGACTTGCATGATGCTTGACCCTTTTCTCTGGGTTTGTATGAGGCTTTGACTCTTTCCTCTGGATTTGCATGAGGCTATGACTCCTTTTTTCTGGATTTGTATGATGCGTTGACTCTCCTCTGGGTTTGCATGAGGGTATGACTCCTTTTTTCTGGATTTGTATGATGCTTTGACTCTTTCATCTGGATTTGCATAATGCTTGACCCTTTTCTCTGGGTTTGTATGAGGCTTTGACTCTTTCCTCTGGATTTGTATGAGGCTATGACTCCTTTTTTCTGGATTTGTACGAGGCTTTGACTCTTTAATCTGGATTTGCATGAGGCTATGACTCCTTTTTCTGGATTTGTATGAGGCTTTGACTCTTTCATCTGGATTTGCATGATGCTTTGACTCTTCTGGATTTGCATGATATGTTGACTGGATTTGCGTAATGCTCTACCCTTTTCTCTGGATTTGTATGATGGGTTGACTCTTTCCTCTGGATTTGCATGAGGGTATGACTCCTTTTTTCTGGATTTGTATGATGTGTTGACTCTTTCATCTGGATTTGCATAATGCTTCACCCTTTTCTCTGGGTTTGTATG